GTCGAATTCTGCGGGAGACATACCGTCGGCTATTATTTGACACGTTCCCAATAGCAAGCTGTTGAACATTTACTCGATCGTTTGAAAATTCCCTATAATTGAGAGCTGATTCGGCTTCTCGGCTAGCAAATTATCTGGTCCCTTTCTCGCTGGAAACAGCTTATGCCTGTGACCTCCAATGGCTCGAATCTCTTTCTGATGTCGACTAAGACGCAACATAATATGCACATATGGGCATTCATCTGACCAGGGCTCGGAAACCCTTGTCGAGTTATTTGTCCAACTTTGGGAGTTATTATTCAGCGAGATGGTGAGCGGACGCGTATCAAATGTCAATGACGATACTGCTGGTAGTGGGTTTACACGTCCTCGGGCTTGGAGTCATCCGATGGCGATACTATGACGGCAGCCGTGTAGCATTGAGTTCGGCTGGAGTCGGAGCGATGCGTAAGGTGCTGTTGGAAAGTCTCACTGACAACGACATTTTGCTGGGCAATAATAGAAGTAAAGATGGATGGAAGCCCTTTTCGAAGCCGCCAGGAATATAAGCCACTACCAGCACAGTGTTCTGCATGACTCTCGACATAGCCAGCAGCGCCCTGAGCAGAAGTCACAACAGGCGACATCAGCTTGTTTCTGCACATCGTTGAGTTGCTGTTCAGTTACCATCTTACATACAGAGCAGTGATCGAGTAATAAGGTTTCTCACAAATACATGCCACAGCTTGGAAATTCAGCCTCTTTTTAGCTCTCTGGCTGTCCTTTTCGGGACAAACGCCCGATCTTAGGTAAAATATCTGACATGTCACGAAACCACCCTGGGTGATAAATTGTTTCGGCATATTGAAGTGAGTTTACGTTTCTTCTGCCGTACTGAAGAACTACTCATTGGATGATGTGTTATGATTCAGTTGCCTAAGATTGACGCCAACTCAATTTGTCAGGACGACAAGAACCGCACAAGTTTGACATGCAGGCACGTGCAGGGTAGCAAGAGATCCAATTCAAAGGCATGATCACCTGCAACTCGGCACCGTCGTCACTGAGAGTCTTAATAATCAAGAGCCACAATGAAATCAAGATGGTTAATCTGGGTCTTACGCTCCGCGGGACAACGCCGAGCATGGACACAAAGTCTCGTTCTCGGAGACGATTAAAGTCCGACTTGACGCACATGCGATGATCCATCCACACATAAGCTAAGCAAAGCGTTCCCACCTTACCACTTTAGGCATCTATGCTACTTCGGACGCCTTCGATCTCATATTTCTAGACTGTGATTCCTATCCGTACTTTAGATCGGAACCTCTACCCCATTTTTACAACTCCCATACCTTGAGCTCTCCCGCAAAAGCCGCCCAGTCTGCGTTGGGATACTTACATCCTTTCCATCAGTTGCGTGGAAACGATGGATCCGCCGACTATCGAATGGTTCGGTCAGTCTATAACATAGCAGCACTCTACCGAGTCAATAGAAGTACGTGAACTGACTCCATCGACGGCAACCTAGGCGCCACGACCTTTCGACTGCGAGCCAACGGTCTGGTCTTGTTTCTAGATACATGGTTGGAGAGGCCCTCTGTGCTACCGAAGCATCTTGATATCAATGATGTGATTGAAGCAGATTATATCTTCATATCTCATGCCCATTTCGATCAGTAGGTCAATTAGGCTCTCTCTGGATTATGCTTGTGTAAGGCTAAACAGTAGCCATAGCCTGCCTGGTGCGGATAAGATAGCGAAGAAGACCGGTGCTGTGGTTATCGCAAACGGCGAGGCGATTAACCTTCTCCGAGATGCGGGCGTCAACGAATTTCAGCTCTTCCCCGTCGCGGGCGGAGAGCGTATTCCATTGTTCACCAAGAACGACCGTAAATCTGCGGCAGACGGCGAAATACCTATCGCTGATGGTCCGCCCGGAATGCCAGCTAGACCGAATCACTCTCGAGCTGTCATGTCTGTTCACGTTTGGCCTTCTTTACATGCTCTGATGCCTGGAAGTGGACATCATGATATTCCAGAGGAGATTGACACTGGAACAGTCTACAAAGGCGAGGCTACACCGTATACTTGTACCCTTGACATTACAATGGGGATGAAATACGGCCTCTTGCGCAACAAAGAAGACATGCCGCTCGAACAGATGGACGACGGAATGAAATCCTTTGCAGAGTACATCAGCGACAGGAAGAACAACGTGTTTTCGCACTACGATGGCGGACAACTAGCCTACAACTTCCTTATCGGGCCCGGGCAGACTGTGTTCTGGAACGGACATTTGGGTGGTTATGAGGGCATTATCAAGAGCATTGAGCCAACCCCAGATGTGGCGATCCTCACCATCGCGGGGCGAGCCAATCTGAACGGCCGACCTTACGATGGATCTGCTGCCCAGTTCGCGACGAACCAGATCCGGTGGCTATCTCAACCCAAGAAAGTGATCTGGGCTCTCCATGATGAGGGGTAAGTTTCATCTTTCGGAACAGGTGGGGGAGGCAGCACATGGAGTATGTACGTTCTAAGTGACTGACATCTTTGGGCGACGAAATCATAGTGCGATCAAGCCGTATCGGGTAAACACCGCCGCCGCAACTGCCATGGTCCATGCTCAGACCTCATCAACAGTGGAAGAGCTCGAGTTCGGTCTCGCAAAACCGCTTTTCTGAACTAACCTGATGATCGAAGGTTGGACTCGGTTAGGCTAACCAGCAAGTTTCTAGGCGAGAAAGTCCATTTTGGTTCTGTTTGGCAACTCAATAGGAACGGGCCGACCATTGTGGTTTGGTTTTGCCCTGTGACATGTAACCTTATTCAAGCGACGCATCGGAGAGCTGCGGGCACCGAACACCGAGCCAGTCGGAAGGCGGCCACGTACCATTTCACGGACCCGTGTGGAGTTGGCATGACATCCGACGGTGGGGGAGGGGGACTTGCCTTGGCGGCATGAGACATCACAATGACTTCTTCTCAGTGATTATGGAATCAAGTAGACAAGCCGTACGCAATGCCGTGTTCGTTTACCGAAACTCAACTCACGTGCAAGAGGTTCTACTCACAAGTTGCTGACATCAAATTGCTAAAGGACCGGGCAAGAGGATGCTTACCTTGGAGTGCTTCAAGATGATTTAATCCACGAAAAGGTCATCATTACAGCCTCCCAGTCACTACATGTTGAATCATTCTGGGAATTGACAATCAACTACTTCTCATCATGACTGCGCCCTTCAAAGTAATCATCGCAGGTGGCGGTCTCGCTGGCTCACTCCTCGCAAACGGTCTCGTCAACCACGGCATTAATGTGACCGTCTACGAACGTGACGCTGAAGATGCCAAAAGAGAGGGATTCCAGATACGATTGGGCGACAGCGCCATGACAGGTTTCAATGCTTGCCTGAAACTGACAGACATTGCGGCCATCAAGTCGCAATTCAGTCAAATGTCTTCCACAGGTCTCACTGCACCGACCTTGATGAATACGAGATTCCAGACTGTGCTTGACTTGGGCAAGATTCCATCATATAGTGCGTCTTCCGCTATCAATCGCGTCGTGCTTCGGGATATCCTAGTTGCTCCCTTGCAGGAAAGGGGCATCATCCGGTTCGAAAAAGCATTTGAGGGGTATGAAGTTTTCCAAAGCAACGATGGACAAGAAAATGTGAGGGTTCATTTCGCCGACGGCACTACTGATACTTGCGATATTCTTGTTGGAGCAGATGGAAGCGGGTCAAGGGTAAGATTATGCAAGATTGGAAATAGTCGTCCTAGAGACTTGGACGATTTGCTGATGAGGGCATCTACAGATCAACAAGCAAGTGGGAGCTCGGAATATTGTGCCAATTGACAGCCATGCCATGGTTCTCAGCAAAGGCCCTCTGCCCGAGGATTGGACGGAGAAGCTGCCTAAGCGTTTGACCGAAAGTCCACTCATGGTATTTGCAGGTGGTGTGTCCATGTTCTACGCGTGTAAGTCAAATCTGATCGATTATCACGCCATGGTACAACAAGATACACGCCGAAAGCTGACATTCTAGCTCTTAGTGTTCCTACCCGCTGCGGACGAGGCGACTCAGAAAGCTGGAAATGGCGCTAGATATAGCACAAGGAATGCCTCCTATTACTGGGGCGTTTTGATTCCCAGGGACAAAATGCCGACCGATGACTGGAACAAGGTGGAAGATCCCTTGGGGATATGTCTCGATGCAACCCGAGACTGGGCACCCGAATAGTGAGCCAACAGCATGTTCCTCAGCCGGCTATCCCTGACTCATTAGTGTGTAGTCGAACGATGTTGACGACAGGTTTCGACGGCAAGAGCAGAGACCTCGTTACTGTAGCACGCATGCGAGCAAGCAACAGACTTGCCAAAACGTGGCGGAACAACGTCAAACGAGCAACTGGCGACGAAGGACACCCTCGAATCTGGCTGATTGGGGATGCAATGCATGCAATGCAGCCTAATAGGTTCGTTGGACTCTGTTACAGACAAGCCATCCCGTTGTACTGACACGACGTGCCATGCTAGGGGGATGGGAGGCAATCAAGCTCTCCATGATTGCGCCGACGCACTATCTCACATACTCGCCCTCAAAGAAAAGGCTGATTCTGGTGTCCAACCATCGACAAAAGATATCAGTGTGGCATGCAGTCAGTATGAGCGTAGAGTCATCGACCGAGCGTTTCCATGGGTCCGCAAGAGCGGAGGAACCAGTGTGCCTGTGAGTCTACCGATTTTGAGCCAAGCGTTTTGTCTGAGAGATTTGACTAACGATTGTTCAAGATGATAAACTTGGATGGATGGCTTGGGTCTCTGGTCTGGATGCTTGGCTCGTTTTTGGTGTCGGGATACATCTTTATGGCTCGAGTCTTGAAGTCTGGGGTGAGACAATGAGGAGGTCGTAAAATTGAGCTCGCAGCTACATGTGTAATTACTATAACATTGAGACACCGATCGAAGGTACTGCCTTGAAGCAATGAATCAAACGGCAGTGTTCGGGTCCCAATCAGCTGCCAATGATCTCTCCTTTCATGCAAACAACATTGCCCTTTTCGATGAACAACTCGTTCCTCTTGTCATTCTCCGCAACAGCTGTTCGAAGCGTGTACTTGTCGCCGGCGTAGAGAGGAGACATAGCTCGATAGGTAACCTGCCGTGCTTCCCTGCCGTCCTTGCCGTACACGTCTCTCCAATAATCCAGCATGTTAATCAGATTCAAAGGCCCATGAACCACAACCTCGGGATGGCGCTCGATGTCCTTCGTCCAGGGCTCGTTGTAGTGGATCATATGACCATTGAAGGTCAGGGCAGAAAACCTGAAGAGGCCAACAGGTGACCATCGGAAGTGACGAATTATGCTTCCTTCTGCACTCGGTTGGTCGGTGATGGTAGAAGGTCCGAAAGCAGGTGGTCTTTCACTACGCGGTGGTGCTGTTTTCGTGGCCAGCGACAAGTCGACTTCTGGCCGAAATATCCACGATCTGAGCATACATTAGTCTCGCAACCTGTGCATGGGAATGCAATGTCCAGGACTTACCTCTGGTCTTTGACAACTAGTCCATCGCGCCCATGAAATTCCTTCTCGACATCTACCAAAACCATCTCATCTCCGCTTTTGCTTTTCTTCGGCGTCGCTCCGACTAGTCTCGTCCGCTCTTCAACTACCTCTCCAACCTTGAGAGAGGTTCCCTCAACAAATTGCATCTTCCCCCCAGCCCACATCCGCCGCGTAAACGTGTGCCGGCGCGTTGAAAGTCTTATCCGTGCCGTCCATTCCGAGTTCGCTCTCGACGCCAGTGGGGGTGAAGTAAACAAGGTGGTAGCCCGGGGGCAGGGGCGTGCCTTGAGCGGGTGCTTCTGAAGAAACATCAACGCCAGGGTGCAGCTCTTTCCGGTTGAGGGTCAAGCTGAGGCGTTGAAGTTGATTCGAGTCGAATAATTGCTTGCGGACGACATCCTTACCAGAAAATGTGTCAAGAAGCTTAGAGGCTGCATCTGTTGCATTGGTTGCGATGGATCGCTGTGAACGAGCGGTGCATTGACGCAGGGCCGGTCGTACTTGATGAACCAGGGACACCATTGTGAACGCAGTGAGTTGAGACTTGGAGGATCTTTAGTGTGTACAAATGATGACTCAGGACTCGCGGACAGCTGGAGCTTTTGTTTGTTAAATGTTTCCAGCACGTGCCTTTTGTCGAAGACTCTGAGAGCAAAGTATTGCATCGAGCTGGCAATTAAAGAGCTCCAGAATGTTAAGGCGGATGCAGTTGCTGGCCAGAAGATCCCCAAGCCCTCTACTTCGCCGCATGAGGAATGGTCCGAGCAGGCGTCCGTCAGTGGGGTTGCCGCGCCGCCCGGCTATATGCTGTCGGCTTCTTAGAGTTCGATTGCAACAAGCCGGAAAGTGACTGTGCTCGGCAGAAGAAGCCGAAATGATGCTGAGTGAGAATTTAGCCTGTCCTTTCCACGGCGACTTATGCCGGGCTTCGAGGGATCTTCTTCCCTGGCGAATTCACCTCCCGTTACAGGCCTTAGACTTCATAGAGAGACTGCTGCTTTCTCTGTCGTCTTTACAAGCAACGCTGCAGGAAGTTCAGCCCCTCTACCTGCATTGGCCCATTGGCGTAAAGTTGAGGATCCAGGAATAGCCCGAGATCTTCTAGGGCATCTTCGCCTTCCCAATTTGTGCGCATGAGACTGAAGTATTGATCTTCCATTGCGTCGGGTCTGGCTTGCTGAAGAGCATCTTGTAGTAGAGTTACCGGGGGGCTCGTGCCTGCGTCGTTGAACGGCTCCAGACCCGTGACAGAGCTGGGTAGTGCGCTGGACGGTGCAGATTCAGTGCTGTCGCCGTTAAGTCTCTTCGCTATTGATTCGTCGAGGTATTGCAGGAAGAGGTCAAGCACATTGTTGTTGATACGCCAGTACTTTTGAACTTCTTTGAGGCCAAGAAGACACATCTGGGCTCTATGTTCGGCTAATCGGCGACTGATGCCATCCGCAGACTTGATATCAATTGCATGTATGCAAAAAGCGGCAAAGAGGCTAGTAAGTCTAGAAGAGTTAGTCGAGGCATCAAATTGTCCGTAGCGTTGGGGTTCTCACAGGTGCATTTGGCCGTATTGCAAGGTCTTTTGTGCGAGCATGTCTTCGGCGATGCGACTGATGCGACAGGCGGCGGCGAGAGCTGCGCTCTTATCCTCCTGGTCTCTATTCCGCAGCCATCCGTTTCGGTGCACAAGAATACGGAGATGGCTTAGTTAGACACATGTTAGCCTTTGTCATGGAACGATACTTGCTTATTCAGTACAGCACTGAAAAGACTGGGTTCAACTTACTTGTAGGCAAGGTGGATTAGGCAGGTCAAGACTGAAGACTGCCCATCATCAGGGCCTCTACGCATCTCATCTGGTAGACTTTGCTTCCAATCCTCGAGCTGTTGCTTCAATTCACGAACTTCCGTTGGTGCTGGTGGTCCCCGACCAGGCGCAAAGTGGGTGTCCATGATTCTCCCGACTATAGATGGGTCAGTCAAGCTGGTACCCAGAGTTGGTTTCGGCATGAAGAATTTAGACTCACGAAGACGAGCGATGTCAATCATCTTGATAGCATAATGAATATGCTCTGATTTCGGTGCACCAAACCCAGTTGCTCGCTGTTCGTCAGCATCATCCTCTAGATCAGTCGAAGTCAGCGGCTCAATGTCACAATCCTCATCGCGGATGCGACAAGGTAGTCCCAGTGACACAGCCGCTTGCCGTTCACGGACCTATTGTATGTGAGTAACGAGCTACAGGACGCACGACGAGATAAGAAGTCATGATCAAACAGGGACTAGAGACTTACGTAGATTGACCACCAGACTCTGCGTCTCATCCGAGCGAAATGTGGATCCTTCGTGATGAATCGAGTTCTGTGCACATGTTCAGTCAAGCTCATGGAAAAGTCAACAGAACTCAGAAGGACTTACGAGCGATGAAGGCCATGAGTCTGCGCGAGGGTTAACACGGCCCCTAGCCAGTACCTCACGTCTCTCCAATCCGTCGGTCCACCCCTCCAGAAGCTGCATAGAAACAGTGACTGAATAAGAGTAAACTCGTCTTTCTCCCAGTTGGCATGAAACAAAACACGCGCGCGAGAGTATGTCAGATTCTTAGCCTCAGACCGATCTTTGAACCCCATGCCAAGAATTGTTGCCTCGTCGCAGTAGGTCGAACCGATGAAAAGCATTGCTTGCAACAAAAGCGGTGAAATATCCATCGTCACAAGCCGCCTGGCGATATCGGCACGGTCAAGAATGGGAAAGCAAGGGTGGAACCAAGTGAAGTAAGCATGTAAAGCTGGAAGACAGCTCTGCATGTCGGGGAAGGTGAGCGCTCCCTCATCCCGAAGATATCGCTCTGTCGCAGAGCTCATGGAAGGCACACTGGCAGGTGAAGTAGCCAGGTCATGAGATTGCGGCGTCTGCGGCACTGGAAAGGTGAGACGACCCTTCAACACCCCATCACTAGTCGCAGCCTCATTGCCGGGCCCTGATGCTCCAGGAACAAGAGTGATGAAATTAGACTCTCCAAAGAACCGGCTACCGCCCGTAGTCCCAGAGGAATGGCACGAAGCAGGCGTATCGGCGTGAAAAGGAGTCTGCGATATTCCAGAGGAGCTCGGAAGTCCATGCGACGGAGACACGGTACTCATAGAAGCAAGCGTCGCGGCGACATCAGCGGTGAGCGCGGACGACACGGCCGGGGCAGCGGGCTCTGGGGTCGCCGACGCGGCCTCTTCCGTCTGCTTCTGCCTCTTGGACTTCCGTAGATACCTAGACCGGCCAAGTTAGTATTTGCCGACTCGGAGATATCGGTGTGGAGAAGAACAGGAGAGACTCACCGGCCTCTTCGCGACGGGATGACTTCGCAAGTCGCCTGCGCAGTCTCGCAGTTCGAACAAGGGTGGCGCTCGGTGACATTGCAGCGGATGCGTCGCGAGTTGCACTCCCTACACGCGTGCTTCGCGCGCGGTTTCTTCGAACCCTCTGTCGGCATTGTAGGCACTGGTGCTTGGCATGCCGCAGTAGATACTATGAGCAGGACATCAGAACTGCCTCCAGACGTCCCTCGAATATCAGGTATTAAGGCGCAGATAGGTGGTGCTCTAGGCCTGCGACGGGAACAACATGGATAATATCTTTGCGCAACCAGCCTCTCCGTACAGTGCCGGTTCAATTGCACTGTTTTTTTCCACAGGCAACGCTTTGACGTCTCGGCTTCTTCTTCCGTGGACCTCCTCACCGAATGGGTCTCCTTGACCGATGTCTCCGATGTTGACCGAGCTGACCGAGAACCAGGAGCACTAAGTCGGAACACCCCCATTCGGCCACCCCCCCCATTCGGCCACCCCAAAAATCCCTCCTAGCTACCCCAATTAAAATCCTACCCTCAATCTATAAACTACTATAATAATTATAATTATCGTCTAAACGAATTTCTTTTTAGTATATATATTCTTTATTATACTATAATATTATATATTAAAAATAAAATTATTTAAGCGCTCGAGGTAATTAAAAATAGTACTTTAATTAAGAAGGCCTTAATTAAGTTCGGGATTTTAAAGAGTATATTTTAGAATTATTAACGAGGTTAATAAGCTAAGGTAATTACTTTTATAAACTAATAAAAGCTTCCTCCCTAATAAAAAAATAAGCTAATTAAATAAGTTCGTATTTAGTATACTCTAAAAGTTATACTAACTTATAAATAAATTAAAGAATTTATTAAATAAGTATTATAAGCTTAAGAAAATAATTATCCTTTTAAAAAGAGATAGATAGATATTTTTTTAAAATAGAACCTATTTATTAAGGTTTAAAAAAGTCGTTTTATAAATTTAAAACGTATTAATAGAGTATTTATTAAAATAATTAGGCCCTAATTCCGATTACTTAATATACTAAAAATTAAGGATATTAAATAGGTTAATAAATATAATATAAATAAGATTAGTATTTTTAAAAATAAGGGATTTAATAAGCTAATTTTAAGCATAGCTAAGACTAACGTAATATAAAAAAAAGGGAATTAATAAAGACATATAACGAATTAATACGGACGCATAGCTCTTAGGGACGCATAATATTCTCTACTTCTAATTAGTCTAAAAATTTATTATTAATATACTTAAATTTTACTACTTTTTCTTAAAGTACCTATCCCTTTTTATAATCTCTTTTACATAATTATATTTTAAAAGAGCTTTATTACGAAACTATAATTAACGCATCTTACGTCCTCTTTTCCTTAAGGCTATACTAATCTATATATTATATAATAGCTCCTTTAATAGCTTATATACCAAGCTTACGTTACCGAGCTTAATTTAATAGCCTAAATAATCAAAGCCGTTTTATAAAACGCTAACACTCTAATAATAATAATATACTATTATTTTTATTTTAAATAAAAGCTATACTAATATTAATTAGTTTTATAAAGTTAGCAATCCTTATATATATAATAACTTAATAAACGATATTTTACCCGAGCTATTATAAGAAACGTAACTACTATCTTATTATCCGTACCGATATATTAAAATAGAACTAACCCTCTATTTTAATTAGAAATTCCTTAATAAAACTAATATTCTTTAGCCTTTTACTATTCTCTAATTCTTATTAATACACAGCCCCCCCCCTTTTAATAAAGAGTCTCGATAGCTTATACTCTACTTTATACGCCGTTTTTTAAAAAAAATATAAACTACTTAGTATATTACTCTCCCCCGAATATCGCTAGAGCCTAGTCCTTCTCCTTTTTATAATAAATCTTAATAACTAACCTAGCCTATAATAAAATAGTTTAATAATATTCTTTAACTTATTATATAAGTTATTAAGACTAATAAAAGGTTAATAACTAGCTTTATTTAATAATATAAATAAAGCCGTCTATAATAAGAAACATAAGGTTCTTAAACGAACCTATTACCCTATTTATTTCTATAATAAAACCCTCTTTTAAGTCTATCGTTTTTTTAAACCGTAGCTTCTTATCGTACTTAAAATAATAAATCGTCCTCCCCTCC